TTGAGCTGTTGATTTTGCTTTTAAATCGCCAAATTTTGGTATTATCTCAAGACAAAGAGATGCTGTAAGCATCCCTGACAGCGAAGGGGGGAGAGCTCTATAAAGAGCAGGAAAGAACTAGAATGTTCCAAAGCTCTTGGGTTCAGGGAGGGAGGGAAGTACCTGTTCAAGGGAGCAGCAGGCGGAAATCTCACCTGTGCCCACGTTTGCTTTTTCTCTCTGTAGACATTTTAAAATGGCGGTTCTGCTGGGCCTGTCTGTCTGAGCAGACTCCAAATGCAGTCTACTTTTTAAATCAGAAGGCAAAGAATACAGGTTGCCAAGAGTGGCATTTCTGTTCTATGGGCCCCATATGGCATCTACCTCCCATTGACCCTGGCAACCTAGGGGATATAAAAATGGCCAGATCCTATTTCTTGTTTTCTTCTTTCTAGCCTCAACTGAAACACACTGCAGAAGAACCGGTGGCTGTCTGCTGTGCTCAGTCACATCTACAGTTTTGTGGCGTCGTTCTGGTCCTAACCACGAGGCTCCAGGAAGCCACTTGGACACTAGGCCCTGAGGGAGGGGCAGGGCAGGCTCCCCAGGAAAGAAAAGGAGTGTTGGGCTGGGTAATTTGCACACCGTCCTCAAAGAGTAACTCCAGAGAGAAAAATCTTATTCAAGACAGAATTCAGAAAAATAGAGATTATGGTAATTTAGACAAGAGCTGGTCTCGCCCTGGTGTGTTTTTATAGTTGGCCTCTGCTGCAATCATTTTTCTTTCAATGCCTCCAATGTTTATTATGCTAGAATCTCATCATAATGGATATGAGTTGAGACAAAGGATCAAGAAAGGAATTCCACGCTGGCGACTCCAAGAAGGAAATTCTCAACGAGCAGGGCAAAGCCGGCTGTGCCATTTATCACTGAAATGCTGAATTCCGGAAATTTTGCTCCTTCCTCCCGCAATCTGCCTTTGCTCGCTTTGGAAGCAAAGTGGCACGCATGGTCAGGAGTGGACCTGGGACCTGGGCTGCTGGGGGCGGGGGGGGGCATCGTGGGCACAAACCAAATGCAGGAACAACATGGAAAAGTTTCATTCCCTGCAGAGCTTGACTCCTCACTTCCAATGTCTGGACCTCGATTTCTCTCTGTAAGACTCTGGGGTGTCGCACTTGCCCTCAGCTGACCACAGGCACGAGGCGTGCATTAACAAGTTGAAACTGATAGAGCCTCTTGGAGAAAGGCCCTAAGCCAATACCAAAAGGCATTATTCTTTTTCTCCCAAGCCCTCCCAGCCTTCTGCAAGAATATAAGGAAATATTAACTTTACTTCCCTAGCGAGGGCGAGATGTAATTAGAGCCCCGAGAAGCCTTCCCCACGAGGCATTAGTAGGTACATTTGCCAGCACTTTGATGAGATAAAACATGGAACTTTCTGTTCTGTGCCAATTGCTCCTTTCTCTGGAACGCAAAGTCATTTTTATGAGTGAAACTAGAAAAAAATAAAGATTAAAAAAAAGCAACAAAAACAAAGGGAGATAAGATAAGGTCACTTGCTAGTTTCTCCTGGCTCTTGGATTCCGGCAGACCACTTCCCCGGAGACAAGGCCAGGCTGCGCAGCCGCTCCTAACAGTGAAAAAGAAGCAAGATCCAACATAGAGTTTGAAAAATAAAAATCTCGACAATTCTGAAAATGTTTATTACTAACCCTGGATAAAGTAGATTGGAAAAGAAATCGAATTCGAATCCTATTTTAACAAATCTCAGTGCAACAAATTCTCCACCTCAACATCATTCCAAACTTTCCTAATGACTTAGCGATCGATGCACAAGAATTCACTGACCGTTTACTATGTGCAGGGCTCACTGTGATCCATTTCAGACAGCAGCCGGATTCCAGTCTCTTTTCAAAACACTTCTGGATGGTGGCTAGCAGCAACAGTGCCTTTCCTACCTCTTTTCTTCTCTAGAATGCCCCGCCAGCTGCATCACACTCATCCTTCAAGACCATCTACACTACCACCTCCTCCATATCTCTGATCCTTCATGCACCTCAACCTCTGGCAGAAGTGATTTCTCCCCTTTTAGAACTCGCTTTGTGGCTCCTTATTCTAAGGGGCATGCTGTGCATGGCTTTTTGTTGTTATTGTGCACTGTGCCATCTCCCCTCCCGACCTATACTCCTTGAGATGTGAATCTCAAGGACAGCATTTGGTGCGTCTTTATAAATGGCATTGTTTTGATTCGTTACACACCACCGTTACTCAAAGTGGGGCTCAGAAGCCGGCAGCATGAGCAGCATTTGGGAGCTAATTAGAAATAAAGTTTCAAGCCCCACCCCAGACTGACTTAGCATCTGCATTTTAACCAGTTACCCACCAAGGTGATTCATACCTACATTGAAGTTTGACATGCACTGTTGTATGGAGTGGATGTTTAATAGATATTTTTCACATAAGCCAACTTCTACACAAAAATCTTCCCCCTTGTGCACCCCTACCCTTATCCTGGGCCCTGCAGATGAGCCAGGGATTGATCCCATGTTGAAATGGCAAGAGTCCTTTCTCCCTGCTCACCCCAGCTTGCCATTCATGGCCTCTGTGCGTTCAGGTGGCAAGTCATTTATTAATTCCCTCACACGTTTACTGAGTGCCTAGCTACCATATGCCAGGCACTTTGCACATTTCACAAGAGAATTTGCCTCTCAACACACTGAACCAGGTTTACAGGTTTTGAGAGTTTCAATAGAGCAAGAGCGGTATGTTGAGTCAGTGTGTTAAGTGCCTAGCAGGGTGCTTGTCCACTGCACGGACTCCTTGTGGATCGGGGGGTTGCAGCCCATAGACTAGACCCCCACCTCCAGGACTCAGCTGGCTACTGCCCCCCACCCCCGGCCTGGCTCTCCATGGGGTAAACCTGCACCACGATTCTCAAACTTCAGCACACACCCCAATCACTTGGAAGGCTTTTGGAAACACAGAATGCTGAGCCCACCAGCTGGCAGTGGCATGCCAACAAGAACGAAGCCAGGCAGAAAGACGAAAGAAAAGTGCCTCTATTCTTTCAGCTTCCCTGATGAGGTGTGTCCTATCGAACCTCGTTCCCCTAGGTGTTGCAGAGATGTTTGGGAACAAAGACTGAAGAAGTGAGGTTTTGGTTTAATGAAGCCCATGGAGAGAACCAAGGGAAGAAAGTTCACCAGGTCCTGAAAAGGACAAAAAATAGGGCCTGGTATTTTTCTATTTGTGTTGCAGGCTCTGTGTGCTACAGTGTCATTAAAGGTGCAGGAACCAGGACTCGACCCACGGTACCGAAAATAAATCTGTGCAATGGTGGGGAACTTCAAAACCAGGTTTAACCCTTTGCACTCGGATGTCGAGTGTGAATCAACACGGTTAGCAAAAATGATAGAGATTAAAATTACTCTTTGAACATATCGATAATTTGAAATATAAAAAAATCCAAATAAATAAGTTTGTATGAAAAGAAACTCCAGCTTTTTATTCTACTGCCGCACTTTGTAAAATCCGGGGTATTTAAACAATTAAATCTCGAGTAGAATAAAGGAATCGAGAAAAAAGCAAGCGAGTGCAAAGGGTTAAGTGTCTCACAGACAAAAGTAAGCGGGTGAACCTTGGTCCGGGAAGAGCTCGTTTGCTCTCTGTCTACAGCTGTGGCCAGGGCCGTGGAGCCGAGGACGCTGGGGCTGTGGCCGTACTTTCCCTGGCCTCAGACTGGTCTCCCCCACCCAGGAACCTCGTCCTCCACCAGCACCAAGCAGCCTGCAGGAGGAGGAGTGGGAGAGTTTAAAGGGCCCCACCCTCAGCCCCAAATCCTTCTCCCTTCCTCCCACCCCATCCCATTTCCAAACCCACCCTCAGTGGTACATGCAGCGAGTACACGAGACAGCGTCAGCTCTGCATGTCCTTGGAACAGGATTGTCAGCCTCCCTTGGAAATCACTCACCTTGTTTCCTCTGGTGGCCTGACTCCAACAGCCTGTGACGCATTCAGTGAGACTATCAGGATACAGGCCAGGAAAGCTGAAGACCCATGCCTGAAGGCTAAGCGCTTCAAGAAGAGTCTTTAAATGTACATTCCATTTCCAGACCAACCCTGGATGTACTAAACTTGCCCATCACCAGGAGTACTCATCAACTTGATGGGTATCTGGGGGAACCTAAAAGTCATCTTAAGCCCTCTCTCCTTCCCACACCCAGCAAAAATGGGTGTGAGGTCTTGCACAGTCAGCCTCTGTGTCCTTAAGATTCCTCCTCCCAGGCCAATCACACCTGAAAGGTTTCCTTTGACTCAGTCTACCCTGTGCCCAGTCAACCCCCATGCCAGCCCTGTCTGCTTCTAGCCCAACTCCTATTTCGGTGCCTCGTTTTAATTATTTTTTCCCAACCTCTGACCAACTCCTCTATCTTCTGGCCTCATGTTGTAACTTCTCCTTTCTATCTTGAGTATTTTAGGCCACATGTGTGGAAATTCGATGCACGTGACCCATTTTAGCACAGCCTGATATCTCTGGAATTCCTATTTCTCATCATTCTCATCTCTCATTTCCTACTTCTGGTCCCAGAGAATATGAAGTTGCAAAGCCCCATGAGGGCATGTATCTACTGGCATCACAAGGGCAGACACTGTGTCTACCTTCTCACTGCCTGCCACATTATCTAGCACATAATAGGTGTTCAAAAAATGATTTTTTTTGGTGAGTGAATGAATTATAGATACATCATACCATGTCCAGGCAAATGATAAATTAACATAATTTTTATTGTGCAAGTATTCCAAGTGTTTCTGGAAAATCAACAAAGTGACACCGATAGCCCAAAGGTTAGAAAGTGCTTTGAAATACACAATAGAGCTATGAGACAGTCACCTGTGCCCTAGTGGCAGTGACAAGAGGAGTAGGTTGCACAATTCACTGAGGTGCAGAAGGTCGCCAGGAGACGGGAGGGGAAGAGAAGTGGGACCTTATGGGGAAAAGTAAACAAATTAAAACTCACCTTTATCATAATCATCATCCTCGACTGCTGCTCCTTGAAGTTTCTGAAGCTTTAATCTTAAGGCAGTTACCTATGTTGGTTTGAAGGGGGGGAAATGAAAAACCAATTACAATAGCATTCCAGCAAACTTATTTTGCGAAAACTAAGAACATTTAGAAACCATTTCAAAACTGAACCTATTCTCCTTTAAAAGAAAAACCACAAATGTACATTTTTCTAATGCCAGATGCATTTGTTTCTCCTCCCTCCAAAAAAAAAAAAGATTATATAAAGAAGAAGTGTAATTTGAGCATAAAATCCACAGAAAAAGTTAGAATGTTATTTTAAACAAAAACATCACACTGTGCCCTTATCTGCATGAAAAAATGCATAATGAGAAGGAATACAAATTTCCTGACCAAATGGTATCTGTTCTAAAAATCACATTGAAATTATGAAGGTAAACACACCAAAATTGGAAGGGAAACCAGGAGAAGAGCATGCACTTAAGCACAGCAGGCTGTCCCCAAGGCTGGGTAAGAGGACAAGAAGGCCGTCACAAAACCCTTCAGAAAGGTCCTAAAGTTCAAATATTGTCCATTATAGGAAAAGGCATGGTCTTATTTAACCTGCATATAGACTCAACGATCCAGTCACTCCTATGGGTATTACCAGTACGTTTACTTGTAATCATTGTTCTTCTCAACAGGAGACCCACAGACTTCCTGAAGGTGGATCCTTGGCCTGACCATCAGTGAATGAGTCTGGGCTTGTTCCCTACAAACACCTTCCTCCCATTCTTTACCTGACTCACGCCTGGCTCAGCTGTTATCTCCCCTATCTGTGTTAAATGTCCTCTTCTATAGCCATCGCTAATCGAACTTGCTTCTACTCATAGATCATTCAACAGATATTCACTGAGTGACTCTTAGGTGCCAGGCACTCTTTGAGTGCAGAAGATACATTACCAAATTCTTAGCCCTCTAGACTTACATTCTAGACAAAAAAATAAACATTATACAGTTGATTCTTGAAGAACATGAGGGGCAAGGGCACTGACACCCCTCACAGTTAAAAATCCACGTATAATTTTTGACTCTCAAAAGCTTAACTGCAGATCGTTCACAGTCAGTTACAGACTGAACTCCTTGTTCTACTACTTTCCCCCCTCCTTACTATTGCACTTGACTAGTCTAAAAAAAAAAAAGAGAAACAAAAGCTTAACTGCTAATAGCCTGCTGTTGACCAAACCCTTAGCAATAACATAAACAGGTATTAACACATATTTTATAATATGTTATATTTTTTTATATACTGTATTCTTATAATACAGTAAGCTAGAGAAAAGAAAATCACATTGATTAGGCTGAGGAGGAGGAGAAAGAGGAAGGGCTGGTCTTGCTGTCTCAGGAATGGCAGAGACAGAAGAAAATCCAGGTACAAGTGAACCCACACAGTTCAAACCTCTATTGCTCAAGGGTCAACTGTAAGGAAATTTTATGGTGCCTTAGAAAGTGATTAGTGCTGTGAAAAAAGGGAAAAGTAGAAGCAAATAAGGGAGATCAGGAATGCTAGCAGAGGACGAGTGTTGCAATTTTAAATATGATCTCATTGAGAAAGTGACATTTAAGCAAAGATTTAAAAGTGGTAAGGGAGTGAACCACAAGGCTGTCTGGGAGAAAAACATTCCTACAGAGAAAAGAGCCAGTTCAGAAGCTCTAGGAAGAAGTGTTCCAGGTAGGAAAGCAAGAAGTGAAAGTGACGTAAAGAGCAAGCGAAAGCAAGAATACCACTCAATCTGGGTGGATTGACTGAAGGGGAAATTGTATTCATAGATGAGGACAGAAAGGTAATGAGGAATGCATCATGAAGAGACATGAAGAACACTTAAAAGTTCTAATTTTGGCTGGGCGCGGTGGCTCACGCCTGTAACCCTAGCACTCTGGGAGGCCGAGGCAGGCGGATGGCTCGAGGTCAGGAGTTCGAAACCAGCCTGAGCAAGAGTGAGACCCCATCTCTACTATAAATAGAAAGAAATTAATTGGCCAACTAATATATATAGAAAAATTTAGCCGGGCATGGTGGCGCATGCCTGTAGTCCCAGCTACTCGGGAGGCTGAGGCAGGAGGATTGCTTGAGCCCAGGAGTTTGAGGTTGCTGTGAGCTAGGCTGACGCCACGGCACTCGCTCTAGCCTGTGCAACAGAGTGAGACTCTATCTCAAAAAAAAAAAAAAAAAAAAAAGTTCTAATTTTACTCTGATATTCATCGGGAGCCATTGGAGGGTTTGGGGCAAAAGATCACATAATCTGATTTATGTTTCACAGTTCCATTCCGACTGCTGTGGGCAAGGGCAGAAGATGAGAGACCCAGTAAAGTGCCATGGAATAAACCAGAAGGTGATGGGAGTGTGGATTGCAGGGCGTGCAACGGCAGCAGCAAAAAACAGGGAGAAGGGGTCTGACTCTGGACACGTTCAGAAGATGTGGGGACTGAAGATAGAGCCAAAGGGATTTGCGATAAATCCCGGGTGGGAAGTGAGGAGGAGGAGTCAGGATGACGCCAAGGCTTTCAGTCTGAGCTGCTGGAAGAATGGAAATTATCTTAGAAATTATCTTAGTCCCTGTAACACCATGGCATAGCTATCTGTTTGCTTCGTTTTGTTTGTGCACATCATTCAACCCTGAGCATCTAGACGGCAAGAACTCTTTTGTACCCATGTAGAACATGCTGTGCTCGCCCTTATTTGGTTTTGCACAGCTCTGAGCACATGGAAGGATTCCTCCCTCCTTGTCCTGCTTGATGGCATGTGAGTGCACGTGACGGCGTCACTTCTGTGCTGACGCATTTCATTGCTGTTGAAGGACTCCCTCGTGCACTCTTCCTTGTGTGAGTGACTAAGGGGCCATGCATTCAGATGGCGCAGGCCGGGTTCTTGAGGGTCCTCTGGAGCAGCCCCCCAAAACCTGCATGGAACTTGAGCGTAAGCGAGAAAGCGCGGTTTTGTGTTGTACAGCCTCTAATAATAGTGTTGCTGTTTGTTACTGGCCTGTCCTGACTATCAATAACATCATCTCGAAAGCCTAGCACAGGGCACTGCCCTGGTAGTCGTGGGCAGACACTTTCCGAATGAATGAATAACCCTATAAACCCTTTGTCCTTGAATGACTCTACAGCACAACTGTGAATTTTACCAGTGACGCAGTCCTATATATCAGGGATAGAAGGAGGGCTGTGTGAGTAGTTCGATAGCCACACCAAGCTATAGTGTCACCATCACCACACCCAAATGATGGAACTGTTGAACGCTTCCTAGAACTGGAGCAGAAGAAATACAGGAAAGAAGGTCAAAAAAATTCCCTGACAGCCAAAGCCCACCCTCCCACGTGCCCCTCGTGCAATGATCTCTGTGAGACCCTGCGCTGACCGCCCTGGGGTGTGTCTGAATGTCCGTCACTGCTGGACACGCAGCCCTAGTGGCTGCGTCGCACACGGTGCCACAACCCCTGGGAGGCACACGGGCAACATCCTCCCTTTTTCATCAGTTTCCATGACCTCAGTGGCGCCCACCTTGCAGGCTCGCTCCACCTCCCTCCTCTGCGTGCCCAGTTAGCACCTGCCTTTATCACTAACTTCTCAGGCCCATGCAACTGGCAAAGCTTCTGGGTGGCTCTTTCCAAGCAGCATAAAGTACACACACACACACACACACACACACACACACACACACACACTCGGTTCTCATCATGCACAGCATTGCAGGGGTGCTCTGCAAAGCTGTTGCGAGCCCTGAATTGGAGAAGGCTGAGGCGTGCTCCTAAAAGAAATACAGGGTAGGTTCCTACGAGCCTCTGGTCACAGAATTTTCCTCAACCAATCAACACATAACCATATCTTATGTGTGTTTCTGTTTGAAAAACATCTTATTTAATATATATCATTGATCCGTTAACATTGAGCCCACAGCCAACAGCATGACTCATGCCTGAGCGAAGCTCAACTCACATGCATATTTTCTCCGTGGGGCTCATCACCGCCTTGCTGCACTTAGGACGTTAGAGAGCATTTCAGCACTATGCTTGGGGCCATTTTAAACAGCAAAATCTCCAACAGAAAGCACAAAAATGTGAAAAAACAAACAAACATGGCATTAAATAGAACATGAGGCCGGGTGCGATGGCTCACGCCTGTAATCCTAGCACTCTGGGAGGCCGAGGCAGGAGGATCGCTCAAGGTCAGGAGTTCAAAACCAGCCTGAGCAAGAGCAAGACCCTGTCTCTACTAAAAATAGAAACAAATTAATTGGCCAGCTAAAAATATATAGAAAAAATTAGCCGGGCATGGTGGCGCATGCCTGTAGTTCCAGATACTCGGGAGGCTGAGGCAGGAGGATCGCTTGAGCCCAGGAGTTTGAGGTTGCTGTGAGCTAGGCTGATGCCATGGCACTCTAGCCTGGGCAACAGAGTGAGACTCTGTCTCAAAAAAAAAAAAAAAAAAAAAAGAACACGAGAAGGACACTCGTGTGCGGCATGAGGGCTGAAATGAGAAGGCACAGCATTAACATTTTCCACCTCAGCTGGGAACGTGCACAGCAGGTGACTTAAATATTTTGCCACTCTGTGCATGTCCAATGACCATGAAAGTGCTGTGAGTATTGATTTTGGAGTTATCGATAAACTTCAGCAAGTAGACCAATTCACACATATAGAACATATAAACACTGAGGATCAGCCACATATGAAAAGGAGTCGAAACTTAAATTCCTGAGATTCACATTTTTACCTCAATAGAAGGGAGAGGAGGTTGAGGAATTAGAATGTCCAAAGGGGCCCAAAACACTAGCATCCTTATGTCTCAAAGGATCTTTTTAAAGATGCTCAACTCACCCTCTCCCCAGCCCTGAGAGCCTCACCAGTAGCCCTTTGAGGGCTACACGAGCAATCTCGGGCCTCTGCAAAAAGACAGGGGAAAAATAGCCCCACCCCATGCAGCCTCCCTCATGGGGACAACTCCCACCGTCAGGGAGTTCTTTCTCCTGTTGAAGCAAGATCTGCCTTCCTGTAAGTCCTATGCCCTGGACAGAGCTCCTTCTGTCATTCCCACTGCTCTGAATAAAGTTAATTCTTCTTCCACACAACAGATACTCGAATACAGTCATGCATTGCTTAACAACAGGGATGCATTCTGAGAAACACGTTGTTAGGTGATTCTGTCGTTGTGCAAACATGCTAGAGTGCACCACACAGCCTAGATGGTGTAGCCTAGTGCTCACTAGGCTACGTGGGGTCCCCCATCGCTCCTTGGCTACAAACCTGCAAACCCGCACTACTGTACTGCACACTGCAGGCAACTGTAACACAATGCTAAGTATTTGTGCATCTAAACGTATCTAAACACGGAAAAGGTACAGTGAAAACACAGTATTATGATCTTGTGGGACCACCATCATATATGCAGTCCACTGTTGACTCAAATGTCATTATGTGGCATAGGACTGTGATTAAAGACAGAGTCATGTATTCCCTCACCCAGGTGTTGGATTACCACAGACAACAATACCTAAACTACAGTTAAATTGTGTCACAGTCTGTCATTTGAGACAAGATATGAGTTTACTTTAAGCTACGGGAAGAAGGCAGAACTTAGGCTGCTGTTTTTGTTTTTTTTGACTCAGACTCTCCTCATCAGAGCTACTTCTCTCTCTAATGATAAAAACAGGCAATGTTCAAGGTCCTTGCTTGGTGTCAGACCCTGCCTGAAGCTTCTGGCGTGTGCCAGCACATTTTGTCCTGGCTCTAATGAAGCAGGTACGAGGTCACTGTCCCCATGTTTTACAGGAGCGTCTTGAGGCACAGCACAATTCAGCGAATTGCCTAAGCTCATGCAGCTGGGAAGGGACAGTGCCAGCCGTCACTTGCAGGTGGCCCTGCTGAGCCTCCATACTGCAAAGCTCCCAGGGTCAGCTCACATGCGCCAGCAGGACCCCACGGGCTGCAGGGCCCCCTCGACAATTCCAGTAGTGCAGGAAGAACGTGGCAGACACAGCACCAGGCATGTGGGGTTCACCACGCCTCTCTTCCTGAGGAATAACTTTCTAGTGGGTTACAACCAAGTATTTACTTTTTTTTTTTTTTTTTGAGACAGAGTCTCACTCTGTTGCCTGGGCTAGAGTGCCGTGGCTTTATCAGCCTAGCTCACAGCAACCTCAAACTCCTGGGCTCAAGCAATCCTGCTGCCTCAGCCTCCCGAGTAGCTGGGACTACAGGCATGCGCCACCATGCCCAGCAATTTTTTATATATATTTTTAGTTGGCCAATTAATTTATTTCTATTTTTAGTAGAGGTAGGATCTTGCTCTTGCTCAGGCTGGTTTTGAACTTCTGACCTCAAGAGATCCTCCTGCCTCAGCCTCCCAGAGTACTAGGATTACAGGCATGAGCCATTGTGCCTGGCCCAATTATTTACTTTTAAAAGCAGAGTCTGGGCAATAAAGGAGAAAGGAAGGGATGTATGTACGGCTGGTTTTGTTTCTTTCTAAAACTAAACCTCATGAACTCCAAAAAGTGGGTTAAGCCACAGGCCCTGGGATTTCAGCTGCCAGGCCCCTCCAGTGACCGAGTGGTCTGGAGAGGGTGCATGTGAGTCCATGGCAGGGCTGTGCCCCAGAGAGCCACATGTTCTCAGGGTCTGACAGATTCCAGTTTACCCAAAACTCTAGGTTCTCGGAGGACGTGAGCTACATCCTGGTAAAGAGAGTCAAAAGGAAGGAAGAAACTATTGATGCCACCAGGACCCAGAGGGCCAAATCTTGTGGACTGTAGCAGAATTGTTGCCAAGGCCCGTTTCTGTTTGGTTATTTGGAAAGGAGGGGAGCTGGCCTGCTTAACAGCATTCTGACTTTTGTCTCACTTGATATGTTGCCAAGATTTTTTTTTTTTTTTTTAAAAAAAAAAAGGTCTCTGAAATGCAGTGTTGAAAACTGACATTTAGACTTGGAAAAATATGATGATGTCAACCTCCACTTAGTGCCCTTGTCCTTTGTATGTCTACCTCTCACATTCTCTTCTGCATTGGACATTCAACCAAGAAGTCTGTCAATTAGATATCTTTGGCCCATCTTAATGAGATTAATTATTTAACTTAAAAAAAAAACAAAAATTAAACACCTGTGGAGTCCCAGAAGCGTGCTAGGCATCAGACATCTGAAAATGTCTAAGAGAAGTGACCTATGGTTGTGGAATTCAGGGTTGCATGGAGAAGCTGGACCCACAAACAAATTATTATTATTAAAAGTGGCCAGGCACGGTGGTTCATGCTTATAATCCCAGCACTTTGGGAGGCCAAGTGGAAGGATCACTTGAGGCCAGAAGTTTGAGACCAGCCTGGGCAACATAGCAAGAGCCCATGTCTAGAAAAAAAAGAAAGAAAGAAAAATTAGCTGGGTGTGGTGGTGCACACCTGCAGTCCCAGCTACTTGGGACGCTGAGGCAGGAGATGACTTGAGCCCAGGAGTTCGAGGCTGCAGTGAGCTATGATTGCATCACTGCACTCCAGCCTGGGCAACAAAGAGAGACCCTGTCTCCTAGGAAATAATGCACAAGGAAGTGGCTTCACACCCTCAACGAAAGAAATAAGTAGGAGCTCAGCAAGTGGAAAAGTGCAGGAAGGTCATTCCAGGCAGAGGGAAAAGTGTGAGCTAAGGCCTGAGGCATGGCTTTCCCTGGTGTCTTCGGCACCGTGTGCCTGAGAGCAGGCCGACAGCAGATCCCGGGAGGTCTTGATTGCCAGAATAAGATCCTGAGGCTAGACCGAGATCAACAAGGAGCCACCAAAGGCTTTAAGCCAAGGAATAACACTATCGCCCCCCACCCACCACCCACCCTCCCCCCCACCCCCCCACCCCCGTGTTTTAGAAAGATTACTCCCCTGGCCTCATAGAGGACGAACTGGAGAAGAGAAACACAGCCAGAAGGCAACAGGATCTCTTGCAAAACCTGGGTGGAAGATAACGCAGATGTGAATCAAGGCCATGGCCATGCCGTGAGAGGCAGGTTTGCAGTAGGACAAGGCCAGGCGTGGGGAGCGAGGGAGAGGGCGCTATGAAACTGGCTGCAGCCTGCGTGAGGTCCTTTAGAACAGGGGCGGAAAATGGCATCAGTTTTGGACAGGTCCAAACACCGCCCAGAAAAAAGGCCTGCATCTCTGTTCTGCCTTCATTCTGTCTCGGAGTCTCAAATCGGAGAGCTGGGCTGAGGTCCCTGAGGGCCAACACAGCGCAAACAGGGACAGGGCTAGGAACACTGGGCTGCAGGGAAAGAATCGAAAGTAGATAAGATGCAACTGCAGGGATGAACAAGAACGTCCACATTTCAGACACTCCAACCGAATGCCTGACGAGTGAGTGCTCTATTTCCCTACTCCCATGTACACATGCATACACACACACGTGTGTGCAAACACATACAAACGCATATGCACACACCCCACAATGAAAAAAGTCTGTCACTAGGTCAGCCAGAGCATCTCTACCTGGTTTTCTCTGGGAATTTGGGGGCGTAGAACAACCCTGCCAACTTCCTGCTTCACCTGCTTCTCAGGTAACTGGAGGGACAGCAACGTGACATGTACCCAGATTATCCCAGCCGGCTGACATGTACCCAGCTTATCCTCATCTCCAAAGCACCTACTTCTCACTGGAGCCTCAGAACAGTGCCGTGAGGTGTCATGATCTCTAAATAAGCAAACTGAGGGCCAGCGAGGTTTAATAGCCAGAAATGAAGGCCCCTGACTCTAGGGAAGGCGGCCCCCACTGCAGCAAGATGGGAGGAAACGAGTGGAGCAAACGCAGAGGAATCCAGGACCACCCCAAGGCAGGGCAGCCCCATTTCGTACCTCTCAACCCCTTGTACGCATCAGCCAGCCCCACCTGCCTGCCCCCAGTTTCCTGGTTCAAAGCAGAGTGAGGCCAAGCGAGCGGCCACATCCCACCCAGGCCAGGGACAGTGGAGGAGCCGCTGCCCAGCCGGGAGCCAACTTGAGCACCTAAGCGACAGAGGAGATGAAAAGGAGAGAGGTTTGTGTTGGAACTCAAAGAGAGAGACGTGCAGTGACATCCTTGTGCAGCCGAGCCCAGCACTCGTCTGAGCTCTGGTGGCCGAGGAGACACCCACCTCCACCTGCCTCCGGCTGCTCAGCAGGCAGCCCTGCAGCACGGGCTCCCACTCCCTGAGCAGGGCGTCCCAGTGATGGGCACCGCCTGAGCCGCCACCCTCGTCACCTCCGCAGCCAGCCCACAGGGGATCCAGGGACCGGGAGGAACCAGCGTCCACATCCGGGCAAGAAAGCATCTCACGCTCTGGCCTGGAGCCGCCCCCTGCGGCCCAGGCGGAGTCTGCCGAGCCCTGAGCAGGCGAGAGATGGAAGGGCCAGGAGAGGTACCGAGGGTCCTCGTGGGGCCTGTCCAAGCTGGCAGCTTTGGCGCCCGCCTCCTGGGGGCCCTGAGGACGGCACTCGGCCTCTCTGGACGGCGGGCAGCCCTCTGCTTCCCCGCGTTCCCCAGCGGACCCCAGCGAGAGCCGAATGAAGCTGAAGCTCGAGGTGAAGGCATCGTGGGAGCCAGGAGAGGTTGAGGGGGCCGCGGGGTCACTTCCAAGGCTGCGGCTGCTGCCACGCAACTCTGCTGGTGCCACAGAGCCTGCTGCCTGGATGCCCCTTGCTCCTTCACAGCTAGCGCGCGGGGCCTCCGAACTGTCCACGGATGAAAACTCTTGCTGACACCCGGCGTCCCCAGGGCCACAGGGCCCGCTTGGCCTGCCGGGCCGTCTGGTGCCAGCTCTGTGCTGCATTGCAAAGCGCGAGGAGGTTCCTCTCACAGAGGTCAGAGCCAGGCCTGGGTGGCCCCCAGAGGTCACAGCGGGGGCTGTTGTGCTCTTAGGAACAGGGCTCCTGACCAAGAGGCCTGGACGCTGGCCTCCTGGGTCGAGGATGCACTGCCCGGCCCTGGACTCCGAGTGGTGGGACTCCTCGCCACGCAGCCCTCCCGGGCCCCGGGACAGCATGCCCACTGCTGGGGAGGGGAACCTGATCCCGGGCCCGGCCGAGCTTCTCATGTAGCCTGGCCGCTGTGCCAGCCTCCGCCTCCGAAAGGACACTGCAGGTGGTGAGCAATCCCGGCTGCCTGGAAAGAGAGAGAAAACAGAAAACGGTGCCATCAACATGCACATCTCACTGGCTCAGCTGGAGCTGCATCCGGAGAACATCCCTAGGGGTAAAGGTCATCTCTCTCTGCATCTGTCACAGGTAGATGCTGGCTCCGTGGTCCCGAGGCCAACCCGGGAAGAAAATCCCGCCAGCCTCGGGAAGCGTCTGCCTTGACCGTGCGGAAATCGACACAGCGCCTGGCCCCGCCGTTCAGCAGAGCAGCTGGCGCTGCCGCGCGTCGTGCCAACGAGTCAGCGTGAGCATGGGAGGCACAAGCTGGGCGGCTCCCGCGCCCTCCAGCACCCTGCCTGCCTGTGGGTCTGTCACGGCGCATCCGCACTGCCGGCCCAGAGCGGGTCTGGAAAACAAACGATCTGAAACCGGGATGCCAGCGCGCTCCTCAAAATGACATCCAGGCATTTATTCCAGCTACTCGCCACACAACACGTGATTCTCATTATCTGAGCTCTCCGTGTCCCTGCACGCCAGCTCTGTCGCTGTGGACGGTGGGCGGGTGGCTGCAGCGCAATGCAGGACCATCATTTCGTCTCGCACGGGGGGTTACGGGAGGCCCGCTGCATGTGTTCTCCAAACCAGGGGCTGTGCTCCCCTCCTAGCTATGCTACAGGCACAGGAACAGCGACAAATTCTGACACCTCGTTGCCCTGACACCTCCAACCCTGATGGTATCACCTGCTGGCTGTGTGACCTTCCACAAGTTACATTACCTCTCTGTGCCTCAGTTTCCTCATCAGTCAAATGGCGATATGAACAGTACCTCTCCCATAGGGCTGCTGTGAGCATTAAGCTAAATGCATTGCTACCACAGGTAGACAGTATAGTCAGTGCCTGACACACATAATAAGTGCAATACAAATGTTAGTTATTATTTTTATGTTGCATAGCACTTTGCTGCTCATTAATGTGCTTTCATCTACATTACTTTCACTTGCTGCCTACCAAGTGACCAGGAATTATAGCTTCCCTTTGAACCCTGAGATTCAGAGTCAACTTTCCAGAATCCCCTGCAAGTGGCCAAGTGACTAGGCCAAACTCTCCGGACTCTATGGGCCCGCATAGCGCCCTTGCCCCAGCGCCCTGCCAAGCCGTACGTCAGACACAAAAGTAAAACCAGGCAGCAGGAGACACAGCTGCAGTCGGACCACAGCCTATGGCGAGAAGCGGAACAAAGCTTCGCTCCAAGCCCACACACCCTGCTTTGCCTCCCAGAACACACGTGGTCCCGGGATCTCTGTCGTGGTGAGCAGAGATCGCTAGGCACTGAGGATCCCACTGAGCCATGACTGGGGCACGTGGCAGTCCCTGGGGAGGTGGGGGTGGCACTGACAATCCCCGGGGGAATGAGCACAATGACCTACGGCCGCCTGTGCCCTGGCTCTGAGTATCTAAAGACAATAGGACCCAAGATGTGCTCACGCAGTGACCTGTTCTTGCCACCTTCAGGGAGCCCCAGAAGGGCTAATGCCACCCAGCGTACATAGAATTCTGGAAGCTTGCAGTGAAGGGAGGAATGGAAGCAGGATTATGAGGGGGAGTGGTAGAGAAAATTCAGAGTAAAGGCAGGGAGGGAGGCATTTAACACTATAACCCTAGGAGATCAGTGCCATTTTCATTTTATAAGTAACAAAGTTAAAGCTCAGAAAGCTTCAATTTGCCCCAGAACTCCTGGATCATAATTTACCAAAGCCCAGATCTGAACTGAGTCTTATCTGATTCCCAAAGCACAGTCTCATTCTGTTCCCTTTGCCTCCAAGTATATATCAGAGCAATAGCTTAAAATGACAGGAAGGCAAAAGAAAGGTTTATTTTTCTTCTTTCTCCAAGACAGAGGCCATGCAAAGTTGGAAGCAGGAGAAAAGGGCATGATGGAAATGTACAGAAGGAATTATTAATAGGGCACATAGATCAGGTTGCCGCGTGCTCTGGTTCAATGGGAACCCCAACCTTTCCCCCGGGTGTTTCATCATCCCAAGACACGCAGCTCCCCGCAGTGGCAGGGCCCGACCCCTAGGAGGGAGCAGGCCAGCCGGGCGGAGACAGGCAAAGAAAGACTGATGCTCACACCCACTGAAAAAACGGGCAAAATATTCTCCAAAGAACAAGAAATCCATCCAAATGGAAGTTAGAGAGAACATCGAATTCTGGCTTCAACTGGCAAAGGAAAACATTTCAACAATTTCATACCTTGAGAATGAGTCCAGTGAAATCTCTATTGCCTTTTGGCTTAAAAAAGACTTTTAACTGTTTTGGTTTTTTCTTTAATTCAAGTACCAGTCACCCAAATAACACTTCTGAAGTTAAAAGAACAAGGCTAAGTGGAAAATAATTTGTTTGAAATTTCATTTCTTTTAGAATGCCTGAGGGCACTTAGGGCCTGAGTGGCCCTTTTTAAAACCACTCAACCAAGGGCTCTGCATTCCCCAAGCCAAGTTCCCGTCACTGCACGGTGAGTTTACCCAGTGGGAGCCCGGGTTCCTGCTGAGGCTCCGGTCAGCTGCAAGAGCCACAGCACTGCATGGGCAACAAGCCCAGAAGACCAGACATGACAGCAGTGTTTACCCCACGTGGGGGCAGGTATGGGGACCACCCAGCTCCTGTACCTCCTGAGGGTCACATGCCCCATCTCCTGGCCGTGGCCCTTCCCAAAAGGCAGTTCAAGAGGCACAGACTGTCACGCACTATTATTCCTAACCTCAGAGGGCAGAGGCCAGAACAGAGCCAGCTCTGGAGGGCATGTCTGGAACATGCTAGAAGGATTAGAGGAAACCCATAGAGAGCAGACCTGAAACCTTTAGGAAGACCCCCAATTTCCCATAACCAAAGACTATTTTTCCCCACTCTTTTTTTTTCTCTTTTTTCTTAATTTTTATTTTTTGAGGACTCTCATGGCAACACGTGACCAGAAACCAATTCCTACTTAAACTGTCCTGCCTGAAACCCTACCTGGTAGATTTATTCCAAATCCAAGCCTGCAGTTCAGGAAGGGTCGCGATGCATTCAGACCTTGGAGAGAAACACTTCTCCCTAGCACCTAAGTGCACTCGGCCCCAGCCGGAGGTTTGAGACGCCAGGAAGGTGCCCCAAGGGAGCTGGGAGCCCGGTGCCCTGTCAGGAAGAGGCTCACCACTCACTGGTGGCGGCCGTCTCTGGGCTGGTGTTGGCAGGTCTCCCCAAAGCTCAGGAGCCCACCAGCAGTCCGAGACACACGGGTGGAGACATTTAACCACTCCACCTATCCTTGTCACTGGTCTCCAAGCCTGGGGGGGGGGGTTGGGGGGGGCATTTCTCCTTCCAGTTCTACCCTGCAACTTCTTCCCGTGGAGTCTCCTGTAGTTTCAGGCACCCTTCCTTCTGACCCTCATCCAATTTGTTTGGCTGCCTGTTTATTTTTTTTTCACTTTCTTCTAAAATCTCTCTTTCTTGCAGAGACACTCACTCTGGCTGGCATATTTCTCGTCCGCCATCTTGCCCCTCTCCGAACCAATCAGAAAACACGTTTCAACAGCACTCTCCATGTATGTGAGGAACGCTGTGTGTGCGCACAAGTGCACACATAACATAAAAATACAAATGTGTGCATGTCTATACACATATATATGATATATAGATATATACACAGAGAGAACGACAGATATAGATATATAGATGGCAGAGAGAGAGAGAAAATTCTATGCAAGCAAAGCAATCCTTCCTACTCCCTTTCAAAATCCGCCAGCTGAGCAGGCCGATAAAGTAATAGCCACAGAATCTTGCACTGGGCCTGCTGCCATCTCGCGCTCACAAACGGATAGTATCCATCTCTTTGGAAGGCAGATTGTTTTCCTAGGCATGCTTATTCGCCAGCTGCTCTTGGTGAGTGGGGCCACTTTATCCTGATCAAGCATTGTTATGGTCATCTTCAAAGCTGAGTGGACTGCAGCGACCGATGCCAACAGGTTTGCAGGCAGCCAGGAGTTCCGTGAAGAGCAAAGCTCTGTCTCCGTTTTCCTGTCAGCCTCCTGGTCACCCAAATGCTAGAGCTTTGACTCTCGGGCTGCGGACATCACTTCCTTATAGCAGCCTCACAGTCAGAAGGGATGGATCCAAGTACAAAGAATAGCTAAAGAATGATAAACACAGCATAAACTGGTTTTAATAGGTAGAGAGAGGGGGATGAGGTGTGCAAGGGACCTCGAGGGTGATGTTCTGTTTTTAAGCCAGCTGATATTTATGCAGGTGCTTATGGTATTATTCTCAAACCATACATGAAAAGAAACATGTGTAATTATATAGTAATTCAAGGTTAATGTTCCATTTCTTAAGCCAAGTGGTGGTTATGTAGGTACCGATTATATTATTCTTAAACAGTTATATGTAAAACCTATATATAATTGTATAGTTAACACATAATTATATACAAATATAATTTTTATAACTATGAAATATTTGAGAATAGTTTCTCAACAAGCTAGACATGGCAGCATATGCCTGTAGTCCCAGCTACTCAGGAGGCTGGGGCAGGAAGATTGCTTGAGCCCAGGAGTTTGAGGTTGCTGTGAGCTGTGATGATGTCATATTCCAACCAGGGCAACAGAGCCAGACATGTCTGGAAAAAAAAAAAAAAAATTAAGAAAAAGAAGGAGAGATCCTGTAAGAAAAAGAGGGCTTGCGAAGAAAGTGACCAGAAACCACACAAGGAAACCATACTGGGATTCCAGGAGGTGTTGGCATGTGTTGGATGTCAGGCATACTACATGCATCCCAAATGAGTCCAGTATTATTCTTCTAAGTGTATGGACATTTGTCCCCTATGTCAAGTGTCAGCTTTTACTCTTCAGCTGAAACACTGAGACTTTGGGGGCAGTTGTTCTCCAACTTGGCAGGGCATTAGGATCATCAGGGCATCTTTTTAAAATCTTTTAAAAATCATTTTTAAAAGTCTAGGTCACACCTGAAACTGATAGAATCACAGCATCAGGGGTGAGACTTTGGCACTGGTTTTTCTTGAAGACCCCCTGGGGATTCCAGAGGGCGACCAGAACCAGAAATTTCTGTTTTAAGGGAAAGTCCTATTTAACATTCTAGTACACTTGGAATTCAAATGCACCACAAAACTTAACATTCACAATGCTGGAGAGGTTGTTTCTTTGCAGAATCTTCTCTCTTCCCCAACCTTTTTTTGTTTCTTAAAATGTGGCTTTAGCTACT